ACGAGCTTCTTAAGCGTTCTTTGGTGGTATAAAGCGCTCTGGCAGCTTCCTCTTCCTCGTCCTCAGCAGGAGGCTCACGAGGGGACTCATTATCAACGGATTCCTGCAAATCGGATACTTCGTCAGGAGCATTGGCAGGAGTATCGACCGGGGCATCGTCAGACGCGTCACCAACAGCTTCAGGGACCGACTCAGTAACGGCTTCATTGGATATCTCGAATCTGACACGTTTTGACGCGTTGGAAGGTGCTGGCAATGAGCGTTTTTGGCTCGCCGGCGCCTTTGCCTGAGGTCTCTCAGCAGAACTCCTTGCTCCAGACGCTCTAGACGCTTCAGACGCCTTCTTTTGCCTCATTTTTCTTATCTTCCTTGCAGCGGCCATCGGAGTATAATTGCCAGCGGGATCCTGGTTCGGGGCTGGGGATGGGATGCGAGGAATGTGCTTCTTGCGAAGGTCGTAGGGTATGGCGGCAGGAGCGCGATTCGCAGACATCTCGATATCGGTTTGAATATAGGCTATAATTTCCTAATTAGAAAGTCAGAAAAACCTCAGATATGACAAATTCAGTAAAAAATCGATGGGATTTGGTGAGAAAAATCAGTATTTTGGTGGTTTGGAGGGCTTCCGATACAAAAGTTGCAATTTTTTGAGGTTTTGGGGTGCCAAAACTGCACCAAATTTTGCATACGCTAAATCCCCGCATAGACTATCTTATCGCCGCAAACACCTAGAAGAAAACAGAACACGGTCTGGAAATCAGAAGAGTATAGATTTTATCTTATAATATTAATTTCGAGCTCCAGAAATATATAATTCTATGAAAACCTCCTTATTCAAATATTTTTTCTCTTAAAAAAATAGTTTAGCTACCGCCTTAGTAAATTTCGAACCTGGGGGTGATGTAATAATAAGCCAAATTTAATTTGATCAGACATTTCAAGTCCCTAAATATGAGCTAATATTAATAAGCTTATGTTAAAGATAGTTTCTTTAGTGAAAAGTTTAACCATGGTTTCCAGTATGAAGTTACGAAACCAAATAGCTTGCAGCTCCTTACCTAGCAATATAGATGTCCAGTCGACCTGCTCTTCCTCACATCATTTTATTTGCTCGAGTACATTAACCATATCCTCTGACTACAGTTTTTTTAACTGTTTTAGATAGGCACGAAAAATTGTCCCTAGTTTGGACCCTCGTATATTGCGAGAATGATAAACAATTACGTATGGGATGAACGCTAATCTAAAGCATTCATCATTTATCTGTATATCTCCGATCAAAATATATAGCGTGACTCAATGTCTAATGAGAAGAGGCAGCTCTGTTCGGCAGTCCGCATTCTTCCCTGCTCGGCAGAAGTCACGAGAAAGATCCTTTTTGAGGACGAACTCCGGATCCCACCCCGCCCAGGACGACCAGTCCATCGCCTCCCCATCGTTACTCTCAGCCTCAGATATCAATTGCATTACGTATCCATCACACTGTCTGTCATGAGAGCATTCGGATAAGATATCCTCAGGGATTCAAAGTTAATTGACACGATATCGCACACAGCTCACCAGCATGGCATGATCGTGACTTGCTTGTTCATCCCTCTACATTGTGCCTCTACATTGAGGTCTGTTCCTCTTTGATTTGAAGAAATCGATGCATCTAGTATACAAAAACAATGGCATCCCAACATTATCGCTCCCCTTCTCCACTGTTAGGATCCAACGATTGTTATGTCGGGACCTTGTTCCAGTGGGATCCCGACAGCGAGGCCGTGACCAACCCTTTCCATATCCACTATCGTGAAGAGGTCTATATCGGTCGTGATCAGAGAAAGTGGTATGATCCTCACTGCATAATAACTAACTGAATGGCTGACACCGACGTTATCAGTCAGTACGTGGTCGACGATCCGGTCGTTTCCAATAGGCACGTGCGGATCTATACGATCATCTACGACCACGACAACCCGCAGGAAGTGGCTCCTCTGGTGTACGCTCAGGATTTGTCCAGAAACGGCACCTTCTGGAACGGAGCGAAGATTGCCAGAGGTAATGGAGGTGTGTTGCTAAGCGACGGCGATATTCTGCGGTTGTCTCCGGGCTCTTATATCCAGTTCCGCTGTCGCAGCGGGCAGACGACGGACCCGTTTAGCGCTCTGCAAAGACAAGAGATGAAGGTTGGTTCCTGTACGATATATCCCGTTTCCGCTGATGAATGTCATATATAGGCCTTCGAATCGCAGTACACCATCACCGATCGCAAACTAGGAGCAGGGGCGTATGGACAAGTGCACATGGCCGTCGACGTCAATAGCGGACAGCAGCTGGCTTGTAAAATCGTGGATATCCGAGCTCTTACGAGGAGGACAGTCATCGACTTCCCTCGCTCACCACTTTCCGAGTTGCCGTCGCCTCCGCCTCGGAATCCTTGTAAATCCGTCAAGAAGAAATGCATGCCTTATGATCGAGAGGTTGAGATCCTCAAAAGACTAAGCCATGTATGGTCGAGTATCCTCATTTGCATCATCAATACTAATAATTGATCGACAATGGAGTAACAGCCCAACATCATCGGCTTAGAGAGAGTTATCAAAACCGAGAATACACTGTCAGTCACGTTTCCCTCAATTCGCGAGGTTACTGACACAAGCAGGTATATCTTTCAAGACCTCATCACTGGAGGCGATCTCTTCTCATTCGTCGAGTACAAAGGCGGCAGGCTCCGTGACGTCGAAGCGGCCGTTATCGTGCGACAGGTTCTTATGGCACTGGACTACCTCCACGTCCGGAATATTGTCCACCGTGACCTGAAGCCGGACAACATACTCATGACATCACTTGCTGATGGATGCCGGGTCGTCCTCACAGACTTTGGCTGCGCTCGAGTGGTTGAGTCTAAGTTGGAGCGGATGTCGAGTGTACTTGGGACGTTGGAGTACACGGCTCCGTAAGTCATGCACTTTCTTTCTTTCTTCGTCATGGCCAATTGTTTTCATAGGGAAATCACTTCTACCGTCCGTCAGGGATACACAAAATCAGTCGACATGTGGTCCCTTGGCTGCGTGACAGTCGTCATCCTCATCGGTGCTCCCCCGTTTCGAAAGGCAGAGTCATATTCTTTTTCCGAAAGTCAAGCTCGACAGGGCGATCTCGACATTCTCCGCGCAGATCCGGATTGGGAGAAGGTGGGACATCGTCCGAAGGACTTTGTCTATCGGCTGCTGGTCCTCGACGAGACGCAACGCATGGATGCGAAGACCGCTTTGCAGCATGCATGGTTCACCAACCCTACGCACAAGGCGGAATTTGACGCCGTTTACCGACGAGCCATTTGCGATTGGAAGCCGCGGGCTGTGCAGGAGCCAGTCGTCGTTCTGATTGAAGAGATTTTCACGGCGCAGCCTGCTGTGAAGTTGAATCAAGTCACCCGATCTGATTCGAGTTTGCATCTACTGTCTCCAGACAGGCAAGCCATTCATTTCGACTCCGCACACCTTAAAAGAAGTCCCTCTTTAGAGACTTCCTCGACGGACGGGAGTGCAAGATCCTCGACGGGCGAACCGACTTGTCAGAGACTTGCATCTCCGACATTGTCAGATCCCGACTTTCCGAGGGAAGCTCGGTCCTGTATGCAGGAAGATGAGAGGGTCTATGCACAGGAAGACGAAGTCTGCATAATTAACCAGAACAGAGACCCTGAAAAGTGGCAAGATGCGAAAAACTGCCAAAGTGGCAATACTACATATCTAGACAACTGCAGAGTCCCGAGGCCGGCACGTCATCAATCTCCACGAAGCCGTCCTCGTCCTCGTCCACGCCTCCCTTTCAGCCCACTAGCCTGGACCTGGACCGGGTACGGAGACAGAAAGGGCAAACAAGTCGCGATTCGTCGGCAACGTCCTCAGAAGACGGTTTACAAACAACATCGTGAAACAAGAACAATGATCAAGGAGACTGCAACCAATGCAGGGAATATAACGAAGCAAGGACAGCAGGCTGATCAGAGTGGCAACCGTAATGATAAGAACAACGATAACTCGTATCTCGCTGTCCTAGTGCGGAAACGACCAATTGAGGAGGTCTATGCCGTGGAGGGAGAGGAAGCGGAGGAGAAAAAAGAAGAGGAAGGGGAAGAAGATGATGGCGAAGTCTACGAAGAGGTAGAGAATCCCCTCTCAGGAAAGATTTACCAGATCAAGTACGGGACTCGGCTTGCAGGGAAGTGAAGAAGGGTAATGTGTAGAAAGAATAATGTGACGAGCATGGAAGTTATAGAGAAACTAGGAAGTCAACTATGTACTTGCATACTTAGGTATGTAGACAATCCATGGGTCCTCGCCAGCTAGCTGTCATGCGTTCGTTTTCTGTATCAATCAATATAAAATAAATTCCATATCCACCTCATTCTTGCATCTATCTAGAGAATCCAGCCCTCTCTCGACTCTCGATCTCCCACCAGCGAAAGCAAATAGCTACCTGTGACAAAAAATAAAGAGAGAGATTGTGAGTGAGAGAAAAGAAAGCTGGCCAACCACCTTTTTTCCTGTTTATTCCTTCACGATCTTTCTTTCCTCTTCCTTCTTTTTCTCTTTTTCTCTCTAATTGACTAAAAATTCTTAATACTCAATTGTTTACGTTTATTAATTAATTGATTGATTGATTGATCGATTGATTACTCGTCTAATCCTCCTAAGTTAGACCTCGAAGTGAGCGCTGTCGCATCTGTTGTACTGTGTATGTCTCGTGCTGTGTACCTAGGAGATAGGCAAGTAAGCAAGCAAAAAGCAAGTAAGTAGGCCAGGGCAACAAAGCAAGGATCTCGCCTTGCATTATCTCGCCTTGCATCGCATCGCATCGCAGGAGGCCTCCCTCTTGCAAGCATCCTTGACTCGCGTTAGTCTCCTTGATTGAGCCATTCGGGGAATTGATTACCATAGATACCTACATAGGTAGGTAGGGCTACTTGTTTGCTTGCTTCCTGCTGGTCTGGCCAGCCTCCGGAAAATATGCACTGTGTGCAGACAGCCCGTGCGCATAATCGCCTGTCCAACTCATGCTCATGCTCATGCCATGCTCACGCACTGCTGTCGATAAGAAGTTTTGTGTTGATAGCTTATCTATCTATTATCTACAGCGCTCTGCATACACTGTACAGTATATTTTAGATTGTATAACAGCGCATACTTGTATAGATACAGACAGTCCATGTAAGTACCCTTCTCTGAGCACCTGGGCAAGAGAGAGAACATATTTACTCCCCATGTGAATCGAATAAAGAATCTCTACACTATCCTAGATGTAGGAGATGGACGACCGTGTTGTTTGTCCCTACCTATGATTGGTCAATCCCTTCCTGCCTGGCCAGCCAGCCAGCCACTCGGAAGATTACATCCCTTGTTTCAGTACAGTACGGAGTACCTACCTAGATGTCGTTTGTCTGCCTAACGCTCTCCATTAGATACCTGGGTATATAGGTAGCTAATCGATCCTAGCAAGCAAAAACCGTTGAACTATCGATCTCGGCAGCTTGCAGCTTGCATGCAGCATGCATGAAGCCAGTACTAACTCGGGTTAGTGCTGTGTTTCCATTGGGAAAACCCAATGCCATTTCTGGTATGGTGTTGTGTGCCCCTTGCATTATTGCATCATGCATGTTCCAGGGAATCCAGTGGGTGATCTCAGATGAGATGGCCATTGCGATTGCGTTAAGATAGGGATGAGACAGGATGGAGTTTGTTTGTTTGTGTTTGGGTTTGGTCTGGGTTCTTGGTACAGTACGGGACATCGACATAGGTGCTTTCTAGTACATATGGGTATAGGTAGAATCGTAGTGGTAGCTGACAAGGGAGCTAGGTCGCATGCTGCCAGTAAGACGGTACAGTGGTGCAATTTACCAGTATCTTTCTAGGAAAGAGACCAGGTCGATACAGTGAGGTAGGCAGATTTCATGTAGATGCCTCAGGTACCAAATGCTTGGAGGTGGCAGGCAAGCACCTGCCACATGTGGCTGGGCAGCACATGCTCGGAGTCGGAGAGTTTGGCCTCAGCCACCAGCAGCAGCACTGCAGCCACCACCTGGTATGCGCAGAGACCGACATACACATACAGTGGGCATACATATGCAGCTGTCACTCAGTCGCTATCAGCTATCAGCTATCAACCAGTATCAGCGCATCAATCTATATTCTTCTCACTCGCAGAGATAGTCTACATTCCTCGACCAGGCTGGTAGTACACCAGTATACTATACACAGCAAGCAGACTGGCAGGGAGGAAGGGAGGGACAAGGGAGGGGTGCGGGGCTGACAGCACTCAATTGGCCATCTCGACGGTCAATCAACAACTGGACCCTTGGAGTCAGGTGATGGACTGATTGCGTCAGTCGAGTGAAACAGTGAAATTAATTAAGATAACTAAAAAACTACCTAGGAGAGGTTTGGTAGATGGAAGGCCCGTGCCGAACCGACTGAACCCTGTAAATCCACCCTGCACGGATCCATGGATCCATCGGTTGTCCAGACAGCTTAAACAAACGAACACGACCTTCAGATCAGATCAGAGCCGACTGTGCCAAGGAGACGATCTGAGAAAGGGCTCCCTCAGCGTAGGAGAACTGACTATACTGAAACTGTGTACTCCGTACAGAGGACATGTACCGAGGTTTGTCTGGTAGAGTAGACCCTGTCCAAGGGATGGACTGCCTACCTAGGTAGGTAGGTACAGTATTACCAGCCACTCGCAGCTATTCAATATACGTGTGGATGGATTCTGTCGCATTAGATACCTGGCCTACGTAATGTACTGTACACAGATGTAGTTCGTACTATAGTACTCGACACACTGGCATCTCTGCTGAAGATGCGATTGTGTAGATGGTTTGTACAGTAGTAGTCTGACGCTCCCATGATGTCAGATCGCCCTTGGTAGGAGCTCGAGGGCTGCTGTCTGCCGTCACTGTCTGCGGGGACTCGGGCGCAAGGAGTCATCCCTGTCCGTAGTCGCCGTGCATCTACATTCCGATCACCACGTGCACCGACAATAGCCTCTTGCGCAGGTACCCAGGGCAACTGACGAGCCTGATTGTCTTGCGATCGTCTGTTCGCCTTTCCCAGACGAGCAGACTGGAGGACGCCCAGTTAATTAGTTATCCGTAAAGGGTTATATTAGATACTGGAAATGAAGCGCCCTGATTGGCCGACACGTCTGTTCTGTTGCGCGAGCGCGTCGCGTCTCACGCGCGACCGTGACGCGCTTCCCGCGTTCGGCTTCGCAGTGCCTACGAGGAGTATTGCCAGGGAATACGAGATGATGATGGAGTGGTCGAATTGAGTCGAGTTATCAGCGCACGAACAGCAGCACGGCGGTGGCGTCTGCGATAGGAAGATTTGCGGCAGTAGGAGAATTGATTGATGTCTTGCAGGTCGCAGGCAGGAGCAGGTGCTGGCCAGCCGTTGCCCCAGGCGATCGGAGAGATTATGGCGTAATATCGCAGCCTCCTTGCAGACTGGCAGAGACCCCCTCTGGAAATCCCCCAGTTGCGCTCTTCTCTTTTGGGATAGTAGACGACAGAATAATGACTGCGCAACGGGCGCCGACATCAGATGGTGCACAGACCGTGCAACCAGCCGAGGAGATTCAGATGCGCTGCAAGCAGTCGAGACAGCGCAGTGTACTCTGACGCTGGAGAAGAATAGTGTAGTAGTGGTATAGTACACGTATCTATGAGCAATATGCCAGTAGAGAGTATCTTACTGTCAACTACTCTCCCTCGTGGGCTCGTCAAAGCAGCCCTGCGGCGCCTTGCTTGCGACAGGACCGACTATCAATAATTTCCCGAGCACGACTCCGCTCTCCTTGGTGTCGCCGGGTGGACGCTGCGACACCTGCTTGCCCCGATCGGGCAGCCGTCAGCACCGTTATGGAGGGCGTCTCTGCAAGTGGTTCCTCTGGTGCTCTATCGCGGCCGACTGTCAAACGGCGCCGACTGTCTAGGCTGCGCCGTTTCCGGCAGGCCCACCCGGGGCAGCCAGAGTCATCTGCCATTTCTACCGATCGCCGCCCGCCCCCCGCCGGCTGCCGTCCTCACTTTTCTCCCATCGCCGCGACTCTCCCATCGCCCTCCCATTCGCCTGTCCTCCAACATCACCGTCGCATCGCTCAGAACCCATCCCGATCGAAGCGCGTCTTCTCGCTGAACCCATTGACCGATTCTTCGCACCGCCATCCCGTCGCTGCCCGTCGAGACGCTCTCCGGCGCATCCGACCAGCCACTCCAGCCGTCGCCGCTGCGCTGCTGCTGGCGGTCGCTTCACCACCAATACATCCTCAATCGCTCTTCCAACTCCATCATGGCCATGTTCTTGCCGTCGGCGGTCCCCTGCGAGGGCCGCAAATACCTGACCCGGTCGCATTTCGCTAGCGCTCGCGCATTCTCGCCTACACCACCCCCGTCCGGTGACGGTCTGCTGGGCACCTGTCGCGCCCTGCAGTCGCTCCTCTGCGTCTCGCCTGTCTCCTCCCCACGGCGACCACGGTCCGACCGCCTCCAGAGTCCCCTCCACATCCAGTCTGCGCCGACCCCACGTCGATCGCAGAGGGTCGTCAAGCCGCAGCCCAAACCATCACCACCTCCGCGCGGCGTCAACAAGAGGACCCGTCAGACCTATGAAGCCGACGATGGCGACGTAGACATGCCCGCGAAAGAACAGCGCGATCGATTCTCAACCCCGAAGCGGCAGAAGCGCGCGCCATCCGACCTGCCGCTGGGCCTGGCCATTGCAGACTTTGAGTCGCTGGAAGAATCCGTCGCAAGACAAAAGTCCCGTCAAATCACCCCGCAACCAGACGAACAACCTGACCAGCCGGTCCTTCCGTCCATCGAGACGCCCGAAGAGGACGAGTCATCCGAGTGGACGGCCGAGGATGACCAGAAGCTGGTGGAGATTGTGCTAGAGAAGCTGAAGCTGTCGAAGCGCGATTGGGAGGAGTGCGCGCGCCGGATTGGCAAGGACAACGACAGTGTCGGGAGACGATGGCGCGCGCTCGTGGGCGAAGGCAATATTGGCCTGCGCCGTGGCGGCCGAACGGTCCGGGGGCGCTTAGACGAATGTTGGCGGTAGCCACGTCAGTCGTTTGATCTTTTCTTTCTTTCTTTCTTTCTTTCTTTTCTTTTCTTTATTTGCCTTATACTGTGTTTCTGCATTCTTGTGGAGTTTTGAACAACGGACGGTCTGGCGGTTGGGGCTGGCTGGCTGGCTGTGTTTAGATATACCCGGTTTTTTTTTTCCACGGCGGTGTCCTGAACCTTGTACAAGCAATTTTGATTTCAAACTGGTGAATTTTTCCTTGTGTATTAATATTAATCGTCTGGCTGATTGATACCATCGACATACACATACATCACATACATTCCTTTGTTTCCTTTTTTTATCTTGTCTGAGTCCTGTACCTGTACTGTACCTGTACTTGTGCCATGTACTATGTATTGTTGACATCTTCCTGTGTATTTCATTTCATTGTTAACTCTTTTTGATCTTGCAGCAGATACATTTCAAACAAACAAACAAACAGACTGAAGAAACAGATCTTGAGAAAGGGATATTTCTTTTCCACAGACAGACAGACAGACAGCAGCAATGGAAAGAATTTCCTTTCCTTTCCTGATCAGTCAATCTATATGTGTGTACTGTATGTACTAATATGTAATCTACTTACCTAGGTAATAGATACTATTACATTACTGCCAAATCTAATCTATTATTAATTATTATTATAGGATTAACGATGACTATGATAATAACAATGACGGGCCGTCTCTATGTCCGTCCGGGAGTCAATCATTCATGATTCAATGAAATTATCCCGACCCGAACCCACGGTTCGTCCATCCGTCCGTCCGTCCGTCCGGCCGGAACTGGAACCTAACCTGCAGGTAATTACCGAAAATAGCAATAAGTATAGTATAGGTACCTATCAGCAATTAAATTAATCAATCAATTAATTAAAATTAACTAATAAGCACTGTATTTGGAATATTATTTCAGTCCTGGATTGACTGACTGACTGAGTCGACGACGCCCTTCTTTTCTTGCGAATATTAATTCTGCATTATGTAATTGCCCTAGGTATTGTACTGTACATAGGTACCTAGATACCTGTGAATTAAGGTATGCCTTCCAGTTTAGGTAGGTAGTTTGTCCCTCACCCCTATCTCACTGTATGGAATTTCCACAAGAATTTGTATACCTAGGTATATCACCACGACGATCGATCAATAGGGAGAGGGGGGCCATTGGGGCCTAATTATGGGTAGGCAGGCCACTCCCCTCCAGGAAGTGTATATTTTTTTTGGTGCAGTGCATTTCGGTTACTTAGACTTTCCCAATCCAATATACCCGTGCCATAGGTATCAAAGAAGGTTTTAGAAACAGTCGATCGATCGACGGTCATTTAGCATTTTTTTAAAAACGTTATTTTAAAAAGTTCTTCATATCAGACTGTTGCTAAGAAAGAAATTAACCATTAGGTAAAAAAGAAAGTAATCAACAACTTAGTATTTTATTAACAACTCTTTTACTACGTAGGTAAAGGCTTCATCTTTCTCTCTCTCTCTCTCTCTCTGCCTATGGTATGACTTGAGCTACAATCATAATCAATCATAATCTACCTACTAAGCTACATTATAAGATTACATTTAGGACGGCATGTGTAAGGATCATCCATCCATGTACTGTACATACTGCACAACATAGGTTGGAGCTCTCTCGATCGATCTCGGTCAAGCATCTTCCATTTCCATAGCTAAGACATATAGATACGGCATTTAAGTTGCTACAAAAGGAGAACGAGGCTTCAATTTCTATCTAACCACTGGACTATCTATCTAAACTACTAAATTTTGAGGTTATTGTAGGGAGCTACATTTATATAAGGTAATATTCTGAGGAAAAAACCATTTATAAAAAAATGGATAATTTCTTCTAAAATTAATGTTTCCTTTTAAGTAACATTTCCTTTTTTTAAAAAACAAAATATGACAATACTTAATTACTAACTGTAGAATAGCTGTTCTAACTATATAGAAAATAACTGTTATATAACCATTTTATTGTAATTCTAACATATGTTATAATAAAACGGTTATTTGACCTTGAATAATAGTCGAATGACGGTTTCTCAAAACCACCTGATCTGCCACAGCCATAGATGGCTCTTCCTAGATTCATTCTAGCTAATAAATGATGTTTGTGATGTAAGTAAGCCTTTGTCTTGAATGGAAGGAGTTTGACAGTAAAGTGATTCAAGCTGGGATTTACAGGTTCACTGACCTAATTATAAAATAAGCACTTATCAACTTTCCAGCGAATGGCGTTCAGGGCTATTAATTATCCTCAAGAAAAAAAGGTCAAGATGTGTAAATACGAGATTTGGGATTGCAAGAAGAGATAATATCTAATAATAGCTGTGCATGTATCTTCCCTTTGACAGATGCCTTCTTCCGTAAACAAACAACGTGTAGTAGGCCCAGGTCAGATAACGGGTGTGTTTGTCACGACAAACAACATTGGTTGACAGTGAAATGTCAACAAAGAAACATATGGATGGAGTGCTATTTATTCACCTTCCAGATTGAAGCTTCTTTGTTTTCTTCTCAGTCTTTTCTTCTTCTCACACTCCTCAATCTCTCTCCTCAGTCTCTCCTCTCAGTCTCTCCACCCACTCTACCCATACAACTCTCCTAACAAATTCATCAATAGACATTCTTCAAACCTCTTTCGAAACGTCGCTTATCACTCTCCCCGTGGAGAGGTATCTCTACAACATCGCCGCGGACCGGAGCGGGTTGGAAACCAAGACTGCGCAGTTCTGGATGGCAATTCTGCACCGCGAGTTCCCAGCTACTAGGCAATTTTACCTTGTGCAGGAACAGAATCCGTCGGATGAGAGCAGACGCAGAGTCGACTGTAAGGTGTTTACCTGGGACGACACTCGCAACACAGTACGGGACGTTCTGTATGTGGAGTTCAAACGTGCCGAGATCACGCCTGCAGACCGGGAATTAGCCGTCAAACAAGTTGAGGATTACTGTTCTGAATACATCATGGCGCCAATGGGATACACTTCCCTTTGGTGCATGGTGTGTTACGGTACAAGAGCCGCCTTTTGGGAGGCCAAGTCCAGGGTGCGAACGAGGTCTGGAAGGACTTCTTGTAGCGCTCCACAAGATTTGGCTTGGATTGATGCCGATACTCCTGAGGCAAAGGATATTAGCGATTTCTTTAAGAAGCTTTCCAAGTAGTATGGTCAGTAACTGCTGATAAAGGTTCTTCCCCAGCAAAAAACTGATCCTGTTTGCAGACAGTCTCTAATTTTCATGCAGGCGACTACACAAGCGGAACGACATTTTTCATTAGCGAGTCCTCGAGAAAAATCAATAACAAATGAAAATCCTAATTCACATCAGATTTCAGCTCAAAGGCTTTTCACACTCACAACGCTCATTAGTTGGCGGATCCCCTCTGAGAAATCTCGTGTGTGGAAACGGCTTCGCACAGCCCACATGTTTGTTGAAATACTTCAGACCAGGATCAATAGGACCTGTATAGATAGGGTATGTCTCATTAATGAAGACAGATAAACGGGTTGAGCTTTCTTCCTTTTCGAGATTCTGAAAAATTCCTCTCACTGAGCCCAGAGCCTTCCAAATACGTTGACGGTTTTCGAGACCCAGGATCTTTCTGAGCAGTTGTTGTGTCTCAAAGTATGCAAACTCCCAATTGATATAAACATCGCATTGAACTTCCATGAACTCAAAGATAAGGCCTCCTAATCGTCGACGCCAGTGGGATTCAGGAATGGACCACCCTAATGCGGAAACGCAGCTTTTGACATCGATGTCTTCAAGAAATTCTAGGACCAGTGAGCGGAGTTCTAATGGCAGTAGTGAGAGATAATTTTCTCTGTCACAGGTCTGAGGATTTTTTGCTGTTTTCACTGGTGTGCTCTGTGTTCGAGTACTTTGTTTTATCAGCCATTTCACTTCCGGGATATCAACTGGGTTGACTTGGTATGGCCAAGTGACATCTAGCGCTTCCACTAGACGATAACACACAAAAGGGACCCATGGGCAGGTATAGTCTCTGAGGGGCATATATTTGTCCAGGTCATAGTTGTTTTTATACCAATATTTCCGGATCGCAATGATTAGATGCTCGAGTTGGTGCTGAGCAATATAGCCTAGGCCTAGACAGCGCTCAACCAGTATCCAGCACTTCGCATGAAATGGGTAGCCGTGAGGATAATTTTGACAGTTCTGGGAGCTCCAGTATCTTGCAGGATAGATTGTGCAAACATTGGATGCTATGGCACCAAGGTACCCTGCATCGTGTGCGGCTTTAACGATCTCGTTCTCTTCTCTTGGTGCGTACAGTCGATCTCGTTTTATTCCCTCGGAGAGTGCACCGATTCCAGAGAGGGTGAAGACTTCACGGTCAGCGTCATCTTTGGCATGGTCGACAATGACTTAAGTGGATAAATTAGAACATGCAATTGTTATTCTAACGTGTTCGTGGAAAGATATTGATTGGGAAGTTAGGAATCGTCAAACATACCGACTCGATAGAATCGATACCAGATATCATACGACTTATCTAGCCAGAATTTTGTTCCACACGCACCGCAGAAAAGATCTTCATCGCTGAACCATTCCGTCATCTCGATAGTTTCAAACCAAATTGTCTCGCGTTTCTGGTTGTGTTGCTCTTCAAGATGAAGGATAGGACAGTCTGGTACTCGCAAAGGAAATTTAATGATATTTGACCAAGTGGCTCATCGCATCTAACAAGTCAAATTTTTTAATAAATTTCTGGTCATTGAATAATTTACTTGTCATTGCCAAGGCCCACTCCGACGCTTTTTTGCAGGCCGTTGCCTTGCAAGGTTAAAGGAACGTCCAGTTGAATCCATGGTTCAATTGCAAGAGCGGAGAGCAACGAAAAGGTAGACAAAATCAGAACTAGGATTTTCTAATAAAGATCTAGCAGTGGAAACCACAAGCGCAGAAGTAGAAAGCAGGATAGAACTAGGGTGCTGGACCCAGCAGGAGAGAGAAAAGGGGCAGGAGCGGTGGAGCACACAGCAGCTGGAAAGAGCACAGTTATAAGGCAGCTCGGGCAAGCAGAACGGCTTTTTTGAAAGACAGAATTCTGTCTGCAAAAACTCGATGCAAATAACACTGAGGCTGAAGAAGGAAGGAATGGACCAGAGGAGATCATCGACGTCGACTTTCTTCTAGGCAGCCCGGTCTTTATTTGCACGTGAATCAAAACACTCAATCATTGGCCTGGTTACGACAATACCAATAAACACCGAATTCTGTATTGTCAATCAGGACCTTTTTTTATTTTCTATGATAGAAGAAGAGGCAGCCATGACAATAAAATATAGAAGATGCGAAATGTGTAACTGGTGGCTGCGCAGGCTTATCTATACTAGGTCTCCACGTAAACTTGAACAGATCATTTCTGCTTGTTTGGGAAAAGAAGCCGCAATTTATCTTCGAAAAGTGTTGAAAACTGAATAAGATCCTTTGGAATATACCACCATTCTATATGGTCCAGTAGTTAGGTCAGTAGTAGTTGTTGTTGCATGTATGTAGTTGTACTGTAATTAGATAAACTAGTGGAGTTGGTTGGTATTACTAGTGAGGAATATGTATTAATATTAATATTATAACTGGGATATAAGATTGAGGTGATAGTTCGGCAATATTTCGAAATCCAAAGGTATCCCTTTTACAAAATTAGATCACAAAATTGGCCTCTTGACATTTACTTTTCCTCTCCCTGTCTATTCTTGAAGCATTCACAATGTCCTGTCGTCGACAAAACATGGTATGAGAATATATCCATTATTTAAAGACAATCATTACGACTTCCGCGCCGCTCTTGACTCGTCTACCTTCCGAAAAGCATTGGCGATTTCTGTAACACTTTGCACCAAGTAATCTAGACGCAGACGCACATCAGCAACGACCATGAGACAATTTGCAGAACACAAAGACTTACACGAAGGAATAACAATCCAGATAAAATTCATAAAGAAGTAATAGAACCAAAAGTAGTACCTCTCCGGCCGACAAAAGTGTACACCATTGTTGTACAGATCAAACATGCTCGTGGCGTAGTAAAGAACATCTCCGTAAATCTGGCCGAGAGAGATGATAATCTGCAAGGCATGTCGCACGGGATGCTGAACGGCAATGCAGTACGCTACGAGCAATCCAAGAGGGCCCCAGCAGAACTGTTGTCGTAAGAGACAGGCAGGTTTAGCCCGATGGATGACTCAGCTGTATAAAGTAAAATATTTGACCTACCGCTGTTACAAATTCCATGCACACGAGAAACGTATCGGAGGTCAAGCAGCGCGAGTCGGCGAGGGAGTATTCTTTCCATAGCTGGCCGAAAAGATCACGAGCGCCTGCAACATGTGCATGATTGAGCACGAAGTAGGCCTCGAAGAAGAGATGGATCGATGCAGCTGTATTTTTGGTATTCAGTTGCTTGGCATGGTGAATGGCTTGACATAAAAGACCTACTCAGGCAAAACCACAGGAAGGCAAGACGATCTGATCTGCTGGCTGAAGGTCGAACACGGTTTATGATAAGAAAGGCAATGCCGAGGACAGTCACCCAGCAAACAGCGAAGCGACCAACAAGTGATAGAACAGAGCTCTCATTAGCCAGGTATCCAGGAAGCTCTACGCCCAAAGGATAGTAAGGATGGGGGAAGGCCGTCGTCATATTGGAGAATTGCACTGTATCTGCCATCGTCCTGCTTTCCCCGGACAGTTTCTGTGTCTGGGGATTTCTTTTTCTTTTATTTTCTTTTTTCCCCCTTTCTTTGGATTATTGGCTTCAGTGCAAACTAATTATTATACCCCTGACTTTAGAATTCCCCAAGTTCTCGAAATAAAACGTCTGTCCGGGGAGCCCGTGCCCCAGACGTTACATAGAACCGGGATCTAAGTTTCCGGATCAGGTCATTCCTGTAATGTATTCTAGATACAGTAAGATACTGGTCTTGTGTAATAATTGCAATCTCAAACCGTACATGAAATTCCTGGCGATATCTGGCAGATGGAGATCGCTTTCTGGTTGTGAAAGGATTCGCTAGTTTCGAGTACTAGGATCTTTTTGACACAAGGAAGAGGTGGTTGGGGAGACGAAGAAAGACGAAACAGGCGATCTCGCTTAGTCCTTTTCCTTCCCTACACCCCCAACAAACATAGAACAGCAGCAATGGGGAGTCAAGAGTATTTGCACACGTGGCATAGAAGATGAAAGGAAGGACATGGGCAGAGTTCCAAGTTCCTGAGGTCTCAGAAAGTGAGATCATATTACCAATGCAATACAATGTTTCTGCGCCAGCTCACAGACCTAGTAACTCAACAAGTTAGGTAGGTAGAAGATTAACCAGAATGGTGGAGCGCAATCAAGAATACATATACCTATAGACAAGGCACAAGTGAAGAGTCAACCTATAGCAGCAGAGCAGTGACTGCGTTTGCAAAATTTACGAAGTAAATTCGACTTCTTTGTCTGCACAGTGAACGAAACTTCCTGGTGAATCACAGACTGGCCAGCCAGCTCCGGGGAATATATATCCTGTTTGTCCCGGCTTCTTCCCTCTTTTTCCTTTCTCCTACTTACTCAAAGCACCAACCAGGTATGATACTGTCTATACTTTGCTTTCTTCCCATTTCTTGAGCACTTACTTGCTGGGATGTATTTTTGGATTATATTATCAGTTGCGTCCACCTTCGACGAATATACTTCTTTCTCCTACGCATAAGCCATGCTTCATATATCTCGATTGTGGATGCCTCCACTGATCCCTGAGACGGAAAAGCCAAGCTTTTACACTCAAAATGCGAACGTTGCTCCGGAGTATGGTTCTAGACTCCCACGATGTCCTTACTCGAATCTTCCCGGAAGAACGACTGGTGTTACCACAGGACTCCGCGAAGCCCAACTATCTACCATCTATCTGAAGAGCAGGCCCGCCACCAGAACGATGTGGGACGCATAATGACTGCAGTATAGTATTTATTCACTTGCTGTCAAGGCCAGGCTCGGGGATGCCGCAGGATTTTCGCTCAGTAAATGGTCGCTAAAAGAAGCTGCAGCCCTCCACAATCAACAGACAATCACAATTCCAACGCGCATAAACCGCCATTCGGTGATAGTGATCTTCATTATGACAGACACCCTCCGAAGGAGACTCCACGAGTCGGGCCCATTGCCAGAATGGATAAAGGGCACCGAAGCTTCGTCATCTCCTTCCCCAACGCGGTGAACGAAGTGTGCAATTTCAACGAGAAAGGTATTATTTGGTGCACCATGCCCATCCAGCAGTTCTTCATAGCTGCTGCATTGCGACCGTGCGGGATCCATGCACACGTCTTCTACGCAAAGCTCAACCATCTCGAGCGCCAGCGCTTGATCTCCAAGTTCACCTCTTTCCAGTCAGCCAGTGGCAGTTAACTCCTGAGGAAGTGACTGTCAACGCAGCTAGGCTGATCTGTCTGCAGGCATTAACGCTGAAGATGCCAGGTGCCAGCAGTCAGCGAATGCTAGGATGCGTTGCTCTAAAAGTCAACCAACTTGACCTACACTTTCAAGAGATAAATGAGTCAATTACTGGCAGGGATCGTGAAGCGCATGATGGAGATGTTGTTGCCGACGCCGTCCTCTTCGCTGGTATGGAGCGAAGTGATGTAGGAGTCTTTTCTTCTATGTCACACGGCCTTCGCCATGATAAAGCTCTCAAACTGAGTAAGCTTCAAAATGTCCCCATAAGTTTGCTGGAAGAAGTTCGAAGTATAGAAAGGAAACGTCTAAACGACGGCCTATAACATGAAAACTGATGGCTCAAGCAAAGGTCCGGGAATGCATGACTATCGCTATAAGAACTCGAAGAACAATATAGGATCAAGGATTTAAAGGAACATAGGAGAGTTTTCTTCGCCGAACAGGTAAGTCATACTATGTTCGAAAAGGGGGATGAACATTGACATTTGTTTCACAGCTTACCAAGAAGTTTTGATGATTGCCATATTATTTCCAGGAAAATATAAAAGCAAGAAAGAGAAATATGTGGCTGGGACTAGAGTTTCATGATACCGTGTTCACTGTGACTTGACATTGGAGAGATTATGGAAAGTCCATGCGGCAGAACGCGTGGAGCTTGAGCTTTTGATTCGACTTTCAGCAATGACTGAAATAAGGATCCATTATAACCCTCTCATTTGTGGGACGCCGGGATAACTGGAGGCGTGAATTACGATAAACAGAATTCCCATTTGGGACAGGTTACAGATCAACGAGCCCCTTTCGGCAGAGAAGAATACCGAATAATCCTGGCCTTGGACGTGGGGTTTCCTCCTGCCACAATGTGTACTTCTACATATACCCCTTTTAAGACTAACAACGGGGACAACTACCCTTCCGCAGGACCTCGCGAGGATTCTCCTACGGACACGATCTGGAAGACCCTGGTGGTGGATTCCCATTCTCGCATCGGCACACGAAGCACGCAGGTTGAAAACGAGATCAAATTCGATATAAAATGCATCAAACACGCCCTGCACGAGGAATGATCAAACTAACTATTCGGCAGCGTGTAGAAAAGCTTACACTATATCCCTCTTCTCGCGATACAGAGATATGATGTCCGTCTGACGGAAACACAAGAAAAATTTTAAAGATGTCAGAAGAGGACGCCACAATAAAGGGAAATATTACTTCACTTGTCGTTCCCGTGGTACTCGACCTAAAGTCCCTGATAGCTGATAAGCGGTGTTATATAAGTGTCAATCAATGCACTGTGGGCCGGAGAGCATCCACTGCCTTCAGGGGGATTGGAGAGCACTCGGTCGGGCTAGAAGGATAAGCCTGGAATTCTCGAGAATACCCCAATCAGACTACACGAGCTTGCCTGGAACCCAAGCTGTGACAGGAAGGATCCCCAAAGTAATGAGCGAATGAACCCCCCCCCAGGTTTAACTTTTGAGAGACGAATGCAGTTTACAAGTGAGACAATAACCTGGTGCAGCCTGGAAACTATCACATTATCTCAGACAGTGAGCATAATTTTCCTTCTTTTGTTGACTTTCATTCATGAAAAAGAACGAGTGATACTGACAGATAGGATATAGTGACTCGTCTTAAGAAGACCATAATAAAACTGTCAAAAACCTCGCGAAAGTGGAAACACTGCTGAGACATCTGCCCGGCCGACTATTGTTTCTTCACATTAATATTGAATGACGGACTCGCCCGAGTACAATAAACTCAGAACAAGATCTTGTCATCACTCAGAAATGTCTTCGAAATCTCTCAGAAAAGGTGTGGAGACTACAACAACCCAGGAAGTTCAGCCATTTCCCTCATTCAAGCGGTATAAACAGTAAACATGAACGTCAGCATGAGTGGCCGTGCGGAAGCGGCTAATCTCACGTCCGCTTACTCATTTTCAACAATATTTCCTGCTTTCGGGACGTCATATGCTGAATTCCAAGAGCACTACACCATGCCAAAGCTGTCTGACATCAGTCATTAATTCGTGAGTAGAAAGCGAATCGCTAAAGGGAAGCTCCGCGTCAAAAAACACACTTCCTCTGAGCGTTGATCCCATACACGACAGGTTTGATATTCTCCTGACCTCGTGGCTCTATTTTCCTTTTACTAAAAAAAAAGGCTATGTTCTATCAGTTACATGCCTGATCCTCTAAAGTCTCTAAATAGGTGAGACTTGTCTAAAAATGAAGGATAACACAATAGTGGGATGAAATGGGCACAGATGAGGGGCTGGATAACGAGGTTTTCGATACAGAGGAGTGAATGGAATGGACTTGTGAAATGGTCCAGTTCAGGACTCTCATGATAATTAAAAATGTACATACATGTACGTTAGATAGATGCTTCATATTGATATTTTCTCGTCAAAAAATAATGTTTGATGTCAGTGATGATGATGGTGCACTGATCACATGATAATCTTATCTGGTCCAGCCAATGGCCAATATCGATTCCGTATCCATCAACCACAACTCAAACCATCAATCTATCAGATCGAAAATCCATCTCTTGGTTATGAGATTATATCCTTTTCCAAGTTCAATCCCAACAGAAATTGGGAATTTTAAGACAGAAGCCGGTTGACCCTTTATTCTAGGGGTGATGATTGAATAAAGAAAGAATATTGAAAGAAACAACGCTACATCCAGTTACATAAGTTTGTATGCCTGCTGCCAGCACAGCAGCATGCTGTAATATTCTATCCATTATCAGACCCACGCCGTCGCATATCAGATTCTCATCATCATCATCATCACCTCCGAGGCTCATAACTAGCGGAAGGAGAAGAAGTCTCTCTTTCGGCGTCTACGACGTCTGCCATCCTTTTTGCGGCATTACTTGTCCATTCCCTTCAAAGAGCTCTAGGTCCAGGAGACCTAGCCAGCCACGCTTGTTAGTTGTATCACACCAACACCAATACAAATACCACTGCAGACACTGCAGAGGAATGAGGATCGCCACGCTCCAGTTCGCCCCCCGGTTGGGCGATGTCGAGGGGAATATGCGGCGGGCGGATGAGTTGTTGAAGTTGAAGCGGTCAGCAGCAACTACTACTGCTACGGCAAAGAATGACGAGTTGAGCAGTGTTGAGGATGGACCTGGGCCGGGTATTGAGGAGCTGCGGCCGGATATCTTGGTGTTGCCGGAGATGGCGTTTACAGGTGAGGACTCCCCTATTATATGAACTGCAATAATGCAATTTTCTCTTTCTCCCTCTCTCTGATGTCGTCTAACCCGGTCAACAGGATATAATTTCCCATCTTTGCAGGCTATCAAACCATATCTAGAGCCTCAAGGCACGGGACCCACAGCAAAATGGGCTCGAGACACAGCAAAATACTTAAAATGCAAAGTCTGTGTGGGCTATCCCGAGATTTCCAAAGCAGAAGTGCGGCATGGTGATGGCGACGAAGCACCATCGCCGTCAGAGACAGAAAAGTACTTTAATTCTCTACTCGTCGTCGATGAGAACGGGGAGATATTGCTGAATTATCGGAAGCAATTCCTATATTACACTGACGAAACGTGGGCATCAGAGGGTGACGGTGGCTGGGGGTATCACGCTCTCGAATTCGACTCTCCTAGGCCGTCGCAAGATAATGCTACAAGACAGCAGGTTCCGACCACATTCGGCATCTGCATGGACATCAACCCGTACCGGTTCGAAGCCCCCTTCACCGCGTGGGAGTTTGCGAACCGGGTCCTCGACTCACAATCCCAGCTGGTCATCATCTCGACGGCGTGGTTGACCCTGGAGGGACAGGAGGCCATTGCTTCCCTAGGCCGCAATCGACCAGATATGGATACCTTCAACTACTGGATCCGGAGGTTCTGGCCTCTGATCGAGAAAAGGATGGCTCATGACGGCGATATCGACGGCGGTAGCAGCTTACGGTCGGGAATGACGCAATCTGAAAAGAAAGTCGTCCTCGTCTTTGCCAACAGGACCGGTGTGGAAGAGGGCACAGAAGGATTCAATCCCACCGCCACCTACGCGGGGACCAGCACGATCATCGCCATCACGCAGAAGCTGCCGCCCGAGAAGAATGGAGATGGGGCAGCAGCTACAGGCCTGAAACAACACGACAATGAGAAACCGCTCGACGTGAAGATTCTCTGCTGGGATATGAAAGGGGCCACGGAAGAAGGGATCTGTTTCGCCGATACGCTGTCGGAACCAAAGATGGTCTTTGGCTTAGTGAAGAGATCCGACGATGGCAATGGCGATGGTAATGGCGATGACGATGACGACGGCGAATCTTAGGTTCTTCCTGGTGGTCCTGGCATGTATATATGAACTTAATAGACTAAGTATATACACTGGTTGGATGGTTTAAGAAAAGCAACGGAAAGAAACTACGAACTAGGTCATGATAAATAGATACAACGTCTATGATTCCTGTCTGTTATTCTTCTCTCCAGACAGAAGGGGAAAAAGCGCGATCCGTTCTCTAAGCATATCTTGTTACGCTCCATGTCTACCGGGCCTTTTTCTTCCCCTAAGTAGTCTTCTTCAGGTACCAATCGCGTCCACAATCGCGTCCACAAGCACGTGTATATACTAGTGAAACTAGCTATTTTCAGCTTCCTTTTCGAACCAAATTTGAGCGTTTATTTCGAATACATCTTTCTGTGAGACGATTGTTAGTCAGACACGGTATCAAAATAATTATAGAGAAAATTATTGAATCCGCAGATTAGAATCAGGAAAAAGCTCAACTGTTCCCATCTTCAGAGACAGCTTGTGTAAAGACACCGGAGCTTCTTGCAAGTCAAAAAAACTCCTTATTCAGTTAGTCAAGGTTGCGTCTGTGTAGTCATTCGTGTGACGAAACAATCATGTGCAGCGTTTCTCATGTGACTGCCTCTTGCGTGTTCTTCCAACTCTTCTGACACTTCCAGATTCATTGTTTTGGTCTCTTTCCTTCCTTCCTTCCTTCCTCTGGTACAACACTGTGAACGGCACTCTCTTCTCCCGTGTTCTCTTTCTTTCACACCTTTCTGCACACCCTCACACGGAGAGATTAGTCCGCCTGCATCATTCTCTCTGCTTGGAATGCCCCTAGGGATTATCTCATGACACATTCCAAGCCTGAGATTGACATCACAGTACACGTGAAGCTGCCAAGAAGGTAAGTGTGCTGGAGCTTTCCACCATCCTTTTTTTGCAACTTAGTGAGCTGAGTACTTCTGGAAGGTGAATCATCACTGATAGGGTGCATGACCTGATTGGCATACATGCAGACACCAGTGGTAGGTTGGTAGGTGTGGCTGGAGGGTACAGTACTGTTACATGTGACAGCTGAGACACAGCCGCTCTTCCCCCTCCTGGAATGTTGTGGGTACACAAATCGCTAATATCAAAATTCAGTTCTCAAGTCAAGGGGGGGGGGGGGG